GCAGAGCCAAGGGCGACTTCCGCTCGCACACTCCAAAATAAAGCCGACCAACGTGGATAGATCATTCGGGATACACGGCACTGGCAAAGGACGAAACGTTATTTTACAAATGACAAGTCGGCTGTAGTTTTGTTCCAGTTGTACTCCTCTGTTTAACCCCAGAAGCCATTTATAAGCGTAAACAAAACTACTTAGGGCTTTTATTATGGCGGTCAAGTCACACAACTTCCGGTCTCACGTTCTCCGAGTTCCGCCAGCTCCACTTCCTTGCTTCAGAGAAGTAAATACTGATGTCGGAGTAAACGGAGGTGCACGATACAGAGACCCTGTTCCACGCAGCAGCGAGTCGGACACGCGGCGTGATCAGAGTCACACAGACACGACACGATAACCGTCCTCAGCCCGGCCTTGTTATCGATCCTGTCCATTAGGCTGCTAACGGTCCGTCCTCGCGGACACACCGCTGCTGTTCAAAGCCTTCAGCACGAGGGCCCTGCAGCTGAAAACAGGTCCGCGCGCTGTGCCGCAGTCCTAAAGCACTGATATGAAACGAGGTCGGCAGAGCCTTCCTCGGCCACAGATATCCAGGTCAGTGTAGGCGGCAGCCTCTACGTAACGAGCAGCTCAAAGCCTCCCACACGTTTGCGACACTTGCCAGTACTGTCGCAAAACCATCAATTTTCATCCATGAACGACAGCACGTGCCTTCATTTGCATTTTCCACGAAATACATTTTACGCTTACGTGACTAAATATAAAAAGCGTGTCAGTGTTTCGGTTACAATCAGATATTACTGCGAGTCTAATAATAAACTGTATTTGTATAACCCCAAAATAGAACGTGGTTTGAAGAAGACAGTACAAAAGATCAAAATCACAATAAAAAATAGACTCACATAAAACCTGAACAAATCTGAAGTGAAATTAATGGGGCAGAGAAAACGAACTGTATAAAATAATATGCCTTTAGCTTAAATAAGTCAGTAATGACATGAGATACACTTTATTTGGGCACAGCAAACATATAACAAGTAGTTTGAACATGTGATGAGCAGCAGTGTGGCTTCATGCTGAGAAAGAGCACTACAGATATGATGTTTATTATAGAGGAGGTCAGAAAGAGCTTCACTGTGTCTGTGTGGATGTGCATGAGGAGGCCAGGAGTGGCACAGATGTATGTTAGGGTGGTGCCAGAGAGACAGTGGTGAGGTGTTCACGGTGGTCGTGGGATCACACCTGGGGTCTGCTCTGAGCTCCTTCCTCTTTGCACAGACTGTCAGATTAGGTCAGGCAGGCGTCTCTGTGGACTATGATGTTTGCAGGTGACATTATGATCCGTAGGGAGAGGTGGAAGAGCGTCCAGAGAGGTGGAGGTACGCTCTGGAGAGAAGAAGAATGAAAGTCAGAATGCACGTGCAGTGGAGAGTCATCAGAGCTGTGACAGTGCAGAAACACCAAACATATAAAGGCTTGTTTACGTCACGTAGCCCAGCTCTGAAACACTGACATAGATGTAACTCTGTCTGTGAAGCTGGGTTTAAGAAATAAGTGTTTAAAGTTTATCTCCTGTAAGTACAACACGTTATCTCACCAGGTTGGTTGACTTATATTAGCTTATGTTAGCTAACTAGTGACAGAATTGATAACCCAGTGGAAAATAAGGACACTAAAACTACACATCAGTTTAAGGGATCACCTTTACGCTGCCTCTGGCTGCAATAATGGGTTTTATGTTCACTCTCTGTGTCTTTAGCAGTAAGTGGATCTTTGCTATTTGGCTAGCTGTACTGAAAGGGGAAGATTCACCTGCAAGCTGTAATGTCCAAGTTTGTAAAGCAAACTTATAAATGACAACTGTGTGGAGGAGAGAACAGATGAGTTGCTTAAGGTATAAAAGATTTA